AGGCGCCTGTGGTCCCAGCTACTTGGGAGGCTGAGGCAGGAGACTCGCTTGAGCCCAGAAGTTGGAGGTTGCTGTGAGCAGTGAAGCCATGGCACTCTAGGGTGACAGCTTGAGGCTCTGTCTCAAAAAAATAAATAAATAAATAAATTCAAATGGCAAATGGTAGTCCTCAGTTATCAGCTTAATAATCAGTATAAATTAATATCATTTTATCCTCCATAGATAGTCTAGATGAAGTCAAAATTAACCTGTTAAATATTATAGGAAGGCCCAGGACCTTTGAACAACATAATTGGAAATATCTTTTAAAGCTGACTTTTTTTAAATTGAAAAACTAAAATGCTATGGTATACTTTGAGGATATACATCTTATTTTTGTTCAATATAACTTAATAGAATAAAATTCTTGAAATTTTTAACATTTTTGCTTGATAGTCCAGTTGGGTTAATTAAAGGCCTTCCTCAGATTTGCTTCAGTTTCCTGGTACGGACTTATTTTCTGTATTCTTCGGTTTACCTTGTGGCCAACTAAACTAATTTATTTACTCCACATACATGCTTTATACTTTTTCATCTTGCCACATAAATATGCCCATCTCCTAGGATTTCCTTCTCCCCTGCCTTATTGACATAGACAAATCCCTCCTGTCTCCAAATGTCAGCTCAAATCCTTGCTCCTTGAAACCACCCAGCTCACATCAACATTTCCTTTGTATGAACTCAGCACTTACATGATATGCAGTTCTCACTCATTATTATTATCTTGTTACAGTATTCATCCTGTTTGGGTATTTGTTCTTATATTTTATAATTATTTAGCATGTCTTTCTCACTAACTGTATTATGTGCTTCTTGGAGGTAAGAAGCTTCTTGTCTTAAACTTTATTATGCAAAGTGCCATCACAAAAATACTTAATGACTATTTGGTGATTGGTTGATTTTAGGTGTGTTTGGAAGTCCAAATTCAGCACCAGCAACCTGCAGCCAATCAGTGATATCATCTGTGGAAAATGGGGATACATTTCCAATTAAACAAAGTTTCGAACCACCATCAGGAATTTATGGAAGAGCACTCCAGCAAAATATTCCCTCATATCTTGATGTTGAGGATGAAAAAGATGTAAGGTTATTTGCAAATTAATAGAATAAGTTTAAACATACTATATGCTATTGTTTTATATATATCAGATATGGGGTGATAAAAGTATTTTGATTAAAATTTTCAACATTGGCCGGGTACAGTGGCTCACACCTATAATCATAGCACTCTTGGAGGCCAAGGGGGAAAGATCACTGGAGCTCAGGAGTTCAAGACCAGCCTGAGCAAGAGTATAACCCCATCTCTGCTAAAAATAGAAAACTCAGTTAGATGTTGTCCCATGCATCTATAGTCCCAGTTGTTTGGGATGCTGAGGCAGGAGGATACCTTGACCCCAGGAAATTAGAGGTTGCTGTGAGCTGGGCTGATGCCATAGCACTCTAATTGGTACAACAGAGTAAGACTCTTGTACAAGTTTTTGGCCAGGGCTGGGTTTGAACCTGTCACCTCCGGTATATGGGACTGGCACCCTACTCCTTTGAGCCATAGGCACCACCCCCCTCAATTTTTTTTTTAATCTTGTTGGTTTGTGGACAAGCATGGTGGCTCACACCTATAATCCTAGCACTCTCAGAGACCAAGGCAGGTGGATTGCTTGAGCTCAAGAGTTCGATTCCAACCTTAGCAAGAGTGAGACCCTGTCTCTACTAAAAAAATAGAAAAACTGGCTTGGTGCCCATATCACAGTGGTTATGGCACTGGCCACATACACCAAGGCTGGTGGGTTCGAACCTAGCCCAGGCCAAGTAAACAACAATGCCAACTACAACCCCCCCCCCCAAAAAAAATACTGGGCATTATAGTGGGCACCTGCAGTCCCAG